AGGATTATGACTACGTACCTGGAGAGGAACCACGACAAGGACACTACACCATAAACGCACTGCACCACGTACTGCACCGAGAACAAGAAGAAGATTGTTTGATAATTCTTTTCACGATCACCAAGCTTTGTAGAAAAATATTTTACTCATACAAGAAACTACGTAGGTTATCAGTGAAATATGTTATAAATGAATAAAATTAAAAAACAACAATTTTAAAAATAAAATTTTACTGAGGGGCAAAATAGTAAAGGAAAGGTGGAGGAAGGGGCAAAATAGTAAAGGGGAGGTGGAGGAAGAGATGTGTGGGGGTGGAGGGAGCAACACCCTTGATCTGGTTCAACTTTAGGGTTCGAAGAATTCTTATGAAAATGTTGACAGATGTAATTGAGAATTTAATTAACCAAAATATTATGTGTGATTATATATATACCATTCAAAAATGATAACAGCATCACTTAGCAACATCAATAATAATTTAAATTCACAAATGTTAAACTTTGTATGTATACAAAAGAATAATTATATTGAATATTTACTTTTTGACGAGGAAAAGAGATATAATTAAAGAAAAAAACATAAGAAACAAAACTTAGAACAAAAACATTCGGATAAATTGATATAAAACACTATCAAACTAAAATAAGGTAAAAATTGTAACAAATATATATATATAATCGAAAAAGTGTCAACAATTTGATTAATTCAATATGTGCATAATTTTTTAAAATATGTTATTCAATCCGTGAAGTTGAGAATTTTGAAAGGAAAAAGAGTTTATGACTGGGAATGCATTTTGATTTGTTACATTAAATAAAATTGGTTAAAGTGTTACACTAAAATTTTAAATTCAAAATAAATACAATTACTTATTTTTTAGTCTCACGTCTATTTATATATTTTAAAAACTTTGTGATTAATGAAATCTTAATAACAATCAATTATAAGTCATTACTCTTTTAAGTAGTTTTTACTCTTAATCTTGATTAGAACAATGTTTAAGGATAATTATTAATGAAGATTATCCACTAGGTCTCCCATCTTCTATGATCGTACAATCGGTTAACATTGTTTTTTTTATCATAATTGCATGATGCGAGATGGTTTGAACGAATTGTCCTTCTAGGTGATCTTATCCAATCCCATGCAGCCTTATGACCATATAATAAACTTATAATTATTATACAAATAAAAAATAATAATTCTTTTTTAAAAAACATTCTATTAATTATAAAAAATAATAATTAAAATAAACAAAACTTAATTACCCATCTTTAAAAAAAATACGGTATAGATATTCGTACTAAGAGAAAAGTAAGTAGAGCACGTGTCTTAGAATTTAAAATTTGACATGTGCAGTGAGGTTTGCCTTTCTGTATATACATTAATGTTAGACATATGGTCATTAATGAAAACTCAGACACATGGTTGTCGTTAATGGTTATTAATTATTTTACTGAAACAAATATTATTATCATAATATATATATATATATATATATATATAACAGTTATGTTGGAGGCAGGAGTGCTAGTTTTTGCAGAAGAAAAGCAACTTGTTTACACATACGATGTACCTATATAACTGTCTAACAGTGTATAGAAATTGTTCAAAATGATATGTTTCCACTGTATTTTATATATTTTAGTTATCTTTTTCTTATGATTATTAAAAAATTGTACTAATTTTTCTATCATTTCTATATTTAAGAATTTATATATTTGTCTTCAATTTATTGTCTGCTAAATTTTTAGAATTATAAATAACCATTCCTATCTGTTTAAGCTGCCACGATGGCATAATGACAAGTACGAGGTTCTGTTTAGGTTACAAAATAAGTTGCCCCAGCTGTGAAATTTTTCCAGCTGCTACTCTCAAAAGCAAATTGTTTGTCAAATTCCAAAAACAACACTGATCTTGTCTTTCATACAGAAATGGAAGCTAATCTGTTCACTTGAACCATTTCATTCAAATAAACACAGCCTGCATAAACATAGAAATTAAGATAAACACAAATCAGAATAGGAGCTTTTGAAGTAACACCAGAATATGAGGCATTCTTTAAATTTTGATCTACCAGATAGTGTCTTAAACATGTTGCGATGTTAATTACAATCTATTATAAAAGACTAAAACATGTTTTAATAAAATAATGTTCTTAATATTATAGAAAGATGAAATGAAGAATAAACTAACCCCAACTTGAGAGATGTGTCAGAACTACCATTGTCTAGAGGAAAATCAGACGAACTGCTAGTGATTGACTCATAACATTGTTCTCGAACCAACTTCTGTTCATAAAAGTTCTGTTACAATACTAATATTGATTGTTGCTAAGTTTGTTTCAAAGTAGATATCTCCAGAAAGCTCATGGACCACAAATAAAGGAGCTAGGTTTTGAAAAGCCTGTCACCTGCTTCAGTTTCTGGTTCTCTTCTGTAAGTTCGGCTTCCTTCTCGAGCAACGTTAATTGCCAAATATCATTGCAGAAAAAAGGTTGAGTGAATAAAGATAGATGAAAAAATTGCCAACAGGCTGCATTATTGTTATAAACAAACAAAAAAAATCATTTTTACTATTAGGGTGTCTGAAAATTATTCAAGAACGTAGTTTTCCATACCCAATAGCAGAAAAAATGAGGAAGCAACTATTACCAGCTTTAATCAAGACGTGATTTTTAAAGTTAAATGCCATTTTGAAGTGATTAACATTCCCTGAGAAAAAACATAAGGAATGTGACCTACGTATTCAAGGCCGTGGAGTTTTTTGGATGAATAACTGAATATAAAGTCTCCATTTTTTTAGGTTTGTCATTGGCAGTTGTCTTTTTGATCAAAAGTATTGTTGATGGTTATATTAAACAAACATCACGTTTCGTTGGTTTCGAATGTTTAATAATATTTTAAGGTACAAATTTATTTGACCAGAAATACGAATAATATCTCAAAGACAGACATGATTTGCAATCTGTGTGAGCATTTACCTTTGTTTTAAGACTGTTGATCTCTTGTGTCATTTTTTCTTCCTGAAATCAACACGTTAATTGATTAGTATTATATGTCAAAAGCATGCACAATTTACGTGTACAACGTTGAATTTACAGGTACAATTAAGTTCTAGATTTCATCTCGTAATGGGAAACAACTATGACGAACTTAGAGTACAGATAATTTGGGAGAAACCTTAATTTTTGAAATAGTGATCCAACGTTTTTGGAGAAGTTCCTCCAGTTTCTGCAACTCTTGTACTGTCAATCCTTGCAAGTCTTGTTCGTTCAACTGACTGCATTAAACATGTGCATTCATGGAAACCATATATCTCTATCGTGCATGTATATTTTATGGGGCATGCGTCATAGATATATATCTAAGTCTAAATTAAAGAAGTTGCAGTGAGTGCATACCACAGTTCATGAGCCTTATCTTCTATTTCCTTGTGCAGCATGTCAAAAGAGTTACTTCCAAGCTATATATATACATAGATTATATTAGATTTCATGAGAATAGAATGCCTTTCATGATTTTTCAATTGTAAATAAGCAAGCTATCAAAGACAACTATGTCCAAATCATTTTTTCTGTCGTTTCTCCATTGTTCCTCTCAAGTTAAGAATGTAGAATGCTGCAGAAATATTGCTGTCGTTCTCTCGTTGCCAAACAGTTACGGGAAGCAGATTATATATATAATCGACTGCATAAATATTAATCTACCATATAAAAATACATGGAATCATGAGACTTTTTCAAATGACAATGAGAATTGCATAGCTCGAAACGACAACACTAGATAGAGTTATTAGACAAATCAAATCTATAACATTAGACTCTAAAACAAATTTGTATATTAAAATCATTAGACAAACCAAAACACCAGAAATAAAAAAAAATAAAAAAGAGAGAGGCAAAACAGCGGCACTACACTACTGAACTAACCTTTTTCATTGCAGTAAAACATTCAATTATCTCTCAGAAACAGAGTTCTTTTGGTTTCATCAATTAATCATTAAAGGAAAATTAGAAACTAAACGTAGTTATACCTGTTTTCCAGTGGATGCAATGTTTGATCCTTGAACACCTGAATGCTGATTACGCCTTTCAATTATTTGTTGCATGCTGAAAAGGACAAGGACGTTGAAATTAAATTCAAAACATTCCCTTCCCTTTTCCTTTGTGAAGACGCAAGAGGCTCGTAAAATCAAGAACTTTGTATTATTATTTTATGATTAATTTTTATTTAATTGCATTATATCAATTAGTTAAAAAGCTTAGGAGTATTGAAGTATTTAAATTCATATTAATAGGTTTGCATTAAGCTGATATAACCATGCAACTGGGCGTATTTAGAAGCCAGTGACTAAATGCTGAAATTACAACATGTGAGTTTCACAATAAATGATTGGATAGAGTTAAAAAATGTTAAAGGTAAGTTAATCTTATAAAATCAATTAATAAAATGAGATTTATTCTTCTTTATATACTCTAAATTAACTTTATCTCCAATTGGTGTAAGCAATTGACCAAGGTTTCATGCTGAGTAATGTGAAGAAGGAAAAAGTACAAAGTTATTATAAAAATGAAGACTTAATTTGAAAAAAGTTATACTAAAAGATATGGAGTAAACATGTTATTTATCATGTGATTCTAGTGGTATTAGTAAGCAAGAGAAGCAATTTGACATGTATGTGTCTGAGATGTTTGATTTAGAGCACAAAAAATAATGAATGATTGAAGAATTACTTTCTCTATGTGTTGGTTCTTCATGAGAGTTTTAACACAACTCAATAAGTCTCTTGATATATGAATTTAGATGATTGTATGTTATGAAAATGTTTCTAATGTTTGTCAGAAGAATGATATATAGCAGAAGGTTTGGAGGTTTGTAATTGCAATTTTGTAAAAAAATAAAATAAAATTGTATTCTTTTATTTAAATTTATACTCTATAGATATACTTTAACTAGTAAAAATGATTTCCTATGATTCCTACTATAAGAACTATTATCCATGCCATTTAAACAAGATAGGCAATGCACATATAAGAGAACTTGCTTTTCTATCTAGAAGAAAATTTGTACTGAAACTAGAAATTTTAGATAGAAATATAGTGTTTAGTGTTTCATGTCAAGATATATGTATGCTGTTCTTTTTTGAATGAATTAAACATGATTTTCTTATATTTATATCAATTAAAAAAACATGTTTTTGAATTTCTTATAATTTTTATATTTATAATTTCATCTTTCTTACTGATTAAAACATAAATCATATAATCTCATAATTAAAAACTATAATACAAATGTGTTATCATATTTTAGTAAGTATACATGTAATATAACTACATAATAATCAAACAGAAAAACAATCTTAAGAGACATCCACATAGTGTTGTCAGTTTCTAATTAACTTCAAATATATATAATATTTAAATATCATAAATAGTTTGATTTTTGTTTAATTTTTTATTTTCAATCTGATATTAGAACCAAAACTCGGTTGAAAAAAAAAACATATCTAAAAGTTTCTGAAAACAAATTCAATTTTTAATATTTATTAGTTTTTATTTTTTTTATCAGTTTTTGATTATTTTTATGAATTAATTTAATTTTGAACCCCCATAGTGTAGAATACACCCTTACAATAAAAACCATACTCTCATGGAGTTTATTAAATATACTTGATATAATTTAATCGAGCAATTTGATTTCTTTTTCTGACTTAACTGAGGGAAAATATAACTTGATTCTTGTTCATGCATAGATAATTTTCTTGAGAGATAAAATACAATAAATCAGGGAAGGTATTATTCTACAAAAGGCACATATATGCTATTGCTTGCATGATCACATACTAATTAAATATATTAGATATTAAATTCATTATAATAGTTTACTTGTGAAGGTCTAGGCAGGAGACTTGCAATCTAAGATCAAATTTTATTTTTATTGTTGTCATAATATATATAAAAAAATGTATTTACTGGAGAATACATACATATGCTACAAGATCCATGCACTAGTTTCATGCATTCTATGTAAAACTCACTAACTTAATTTGAAAAAAAATGTTATGATTAGAAGTACATTAACGTTAACAAAATAGGCTGTGGCCTGATTGTCAGTTTAACATATCTCTCGTGGATTTAATTAAGTGACTTTTTGAAGTCATAGATGAGAAAGGTTACCAGTGTTATGTTAAATATGAGTGTTGCAAACCAGGGAGAAGTGATTTTGTGGTAAGGTAGGAAAGTAGAGAATGAAATTTTTATATTCATCAAGGTCATTCGTCATTGTAAAAAACACTATATTATATTAGTTTTAATTCATCAATATAAAAAGTTACATTGTAATTATGTAAATAATTAATGTGAAATTTTTTTTGAGCATGTATAAAAAGTAGGTTTGTTGATATTTTTGTAATAAAAAATAAAATTTTCTATACCAATTGGAACTAGAAGTGATATAGAAAGTGATGAAGTAACAATTTTGTAATTTTTGAGAATAATTTTTATACTTATTCTAATTATAATTAATATAAAAAGTAATTTTTTTTAATTTATAGTGTTTATAGGATTTCTTCTTCTAAGGTACTTTTCGACCCAACATCTACCATAGCTGAAGTGGTTGCATTTGTATGTTCTTCCTCCATCTACATTTTCAACCTAACTAAGGCCAACATAAGGCATACACCATTGTTGCTCCTCACAAGGTCGTTGACAATGACAGTCACCATTAGAAGCCTTGTCAGCATCGATGTTGCTCTTGACTTCGCCTCTCCCAGTTCGCACGTCCATCATCTAGCCAATGTCACCGCCATGCAACTCCATCGTTGTCAGGGACATCACCCTCAACGCTGCCATAGTGCTTAAACAGAGCCCATAGTTGGGGATATGTTTTCCCTTCTTCTTCCCCTAAACACACAACCATGAAGCAACATTCACATTGCCATCTATAAATGAAGGAACTACCAATTGAAGACACCACCACTTCTTCTTCTTCATATGCAAACTCTTACATCAAAACCCCAAACGTCACCACACTTGTTTCTCCTTCTCCAAGCCTATTCAAACCTTTTCCTCTTTTATATTTGACTTATAATTTTTTATCATTATTTATCATTGTAATAGGAAGGGAGAAAGGATGAAATAAGGTTGGGCTAGTAATTTACAATTCAATTAGACATTGGAATAGAAATCTTATTTGGCTCTCTAAAAATGTTTTATGATTATGGAACATGATGAACTGAATGCATTGGATGATTATGCTTTTTTGCCTTTTCACTTACCGTGTGATGGATAGTTTTGTTCCTACGTGAGAATGACTCTAGTATGCATGAATGAATGATGGTCTATTGAAGGTATAATGCGAATACACTTTTTATACTGGTTATGACCTTAAACAGTATAAAAGGTGAAACTTTCTATACCCTTTGAATCTATACTTGTTCTGGAATTGGTATAAAAATACATTTTTTAACTGGTATAAAAAAGTTTTTCTACGTATGCACTTGAGTATGCCACAACTAGTGTACGAACTATTTTCCATGAATATACATATAGGCCTCACTAGTGTATAGGGTTTGGATATATATCATATAAGTTTAAGGACATTTCGATGAAAAAATGAGCTTTTCTTTAAGATTTGTTGCACTTGAGTTTGTAGAATTAGTATACTACACAATGTTGTTGGCATCTTAAAACTTTTCTTTTATCAGATATCAAATAGATTAATAGATTGACCACATCTAAGGTATAAGTTGTTCACATAAGAGACATAACTTTATATCAACTAAATTCTTATAAGGCTTAACGTTTATAGGTCTTATTTTTCTTATATATCATTCAACTTTTTCATTTCCATTTAATATAAGATTTTTATTTATTTTTAAACTCCTAACACAAGGCCTTACTTACTCTAATAGCAAAGTTAAACTTAGAGTTGAAGCAACATAATGTGAACACCCTTCTTCCTTGGGCATTTGTATGGAGATATTCCAAAGACATATTTGGAAAATTTTGAGTTGGTTGGTAAAAAGTAAATGTGCAAGAAAAATAAATTTTCATGATTTGAAACAATCTCCTAGAAAGTAATTGTAGCTAAGAGTGGTAGTTAAGAATGCTCTCAATTCTTAATCTTAAGTGGAGAAGGACAATCAATATTGGTTGACATATTAGCTTTGTAGAATATTCTAATTAATGAAATCTTTTAAGTGTTTCATCCTAAAGAACTTGATGTATTTCAAAAAAATTGAGTTGTGTAGTAATAACCAACAAAGAACTTATAAGTCTTAAATAGATGTGTCAAAGTGGGTCAAGCCAGATCACACTAGTTGGTTTATCATAGTTAAGTTGAAAATGAGTTAACTCAATCCAACTTACTATTTCGTAAAAAAAAAATTGTAACCCAACCCGACTCACTTTAGATTGATGAGTAAGGGGTAGACTCATGTTTTTTCAAATTTAATTTATATATATATATATTGAAATAAAATTAAAGTAAATTGACAAGACTTATTATTTTTATAATAATACATTCAAATTGTTCACTTATTTCACTAAATATCATTATTAAGATACTAGTTGAAAATTATGGTGTGAACTTACATAATTTAACAAACAAATAAATTAAACATCCCAACTATTTAAATATTAATTATTAAACAACATTTTAGTTTTTGAAAAATCAAATTATCAACCTATATAATTAAAAATAATAAATAATTATACTACATAACTTATAAAAAAAAGTGATAGAAAGAATAAATAAAGGGTTAGTAGTGATAGGTTACGGGTTAATCTATTTTCAAGAAATAGACCTATTTTCAGTTTAATCTACATTTAAAAAAAATATATATATATATATTTTTTTTAACTCAACTCCACTCAAACAAGTAATGAGACAAATTTACTCACAAATTTAAACCCCTTTTAGCATATCTGGTCTTCAAGGATTCCTATTAGTAAATAAAATATAATATATTTAGTTAAAAATTCAACATTTCATTCTAAAACAAATCATTTTAATTTTCTATCACTTCAATATATATTTTTTAAAACATGGGGTGTTAAAATTGAGAAAAATAACTAAGAATCTAATAAACATGTTTACAAAGACAATAACTATTAACAAAATGAAGTTGTACCTAATTTGTGAAAAAGAAAAAAAAAAAAAACAGTTAACGGTTAACAAAATGATAAGGACAGAAATGTTTAACCCTTAACAAAAATGATAGGAGAGAAATATATGAAGAATATTTCTTCCTTCTCATATCAATTGGATATATATAATTCCAACAAGAGAAGAAGAAAGAATTAGTAAAAAGATAAAAACTTATTTTATAATTTTCTCTTTGAATCTATCAACACGAACACATATAACTGACTTAACTTTATTATCAATTATATGTATAATTATACCACATTTACTTTCTTTCTCATAAATCAGTTTTAGCAAGTTAAAATCATTTTCTTCAATTCTTTAGAACTGTACATGAGATCATATCCCTGGTTTCCTTCATTTTTGTTTGTTTCGTCTTGAAATCATAGCTTATATTTTAGTTTTGTTCAAGAGGCTGAGAAATGGAGGGAGTGATCCAAATTTGTCAATGTTCCGATGGTGGAAGAGCCACGAAATTCAAGTTCTGGTTTCTTGATAGAGTTTCAAACAATGGAAAGAATTGGACAATTTAGAAATTCCCAGTGCACATGCACAGTCAAGTGTTCGTGAGAAGCCACGAAGAAAGTCTTAAGGCAAATTCAGAAGTTCGTTCTAGTTATTTAGAACAAATTTCATACTTCCATCAAACAAGCTTTGCAGAAACCCCGACAAAGATTGGATGATTGAAAAGAAGAACACAATATACACTGTAGATAGACAGTGTTGAATGTATTTCATATAATAAAGTTTTAACTCCTACTGTTTTTATCATCTAAATTTAAAAATACTAAATTTTAATCAAGCATTCAAAATCAACATATTCTACACAGTGTTGAATATGTCGTTATTTAGAGCATAAGAACATAACCTGAAAAAATAAACTGTTTATGGAAAAACAAAGTTGCATGAGTTCAGAAAGGAAAAAGATTGTAAACAAAGCATTTTGTTTAGGTATATAGAGAACTGTTTGTACAGTGAATTCCAAAAATCAGAAAGCTATAAAAAAAACAGCATATATATTGGCAATCATTAACACTATATATGGTAAAATCAAATTTAGAGTTTTAATTTCATGCTGCAAAAACATACAGTGATATCTACTTGTGAATCAATTCATATAGAACTTTCAAATAGTTATTACTAAAAGTCAACATACAATAATTTATAATCGAATCATAGTATAGAAAACACATTCTTAAAATATTAATATAAATATTCCTATTTTTGTCTTAGTTATTTCATGGTGGTTAAATTATGAAAGGTTGAATTTTGGTGATATTGCGAAGATGTGTGAATTACTGTGAGTTGTGCAAAGAAAAGGCAAAAGGAGAGACAGAAGAGGATGAAAAATGGATAAGTTGTGGTGAGGGGATGCACATGCAGATGTTTATTACATATAATAAAATAGAAAATGGTAAAAGAAAAAAAGAAAAAAGGAAAGAAGATAAAGAATGGTACGGACAGACAAATACCTCGAACTGGCGTACTCGAAGAGCTTGCTGGTTGCGGAAAAGACTATGAGAGCAATCTCAGCATCACAGAGAGTTGACAGTTCATGAGCCTTCTTGAAAAGACCTTTTCTCCTCTTCGAGAATGTTACTTGCCTCGCGTTTATGTTGTCGATCTTCTTGATCGGTATCTTCTTTCTTGCCATTCTACACTCAAAAACAATTTCATAATCATCCAATTTCCAACCCACATAACCATACCCATATCAGTGTTTCAAAATTCAGCAGACGGTGCATGTACGGTATGTCGGGGGTTTTGGTTTTGGTTAATTTCAGACAAAACGGTTTTTGATATATACTATGATAGATCTTCCAAGAACAAGCAAGAAATCATAAGAGATATGCAAAAGAAAGAGAGAAAGAAAAAAGGGCTGATTTGCAAGGAATCTGAGAGAGTTTGAGTTTGAGTTTGAGTTTGAAGAGTAAAAGGGAAGACATGAAGGCTTACCTTACCTAGCTAGCTTTTGTTGTTATATTACCAGAAATGGGTGATTAGGATGTTTGGTGAATGAACTGGTGAAAGAGATGAGAGTGGATGATGTTTCCAAGAGTTGGGGTTATACCAATTTCTGATAATGATTCCAACAAATATCTGAGTAGCGTGTGTGTCTGTTTTCCAATTTCTGGCTGCTATTGCTCACTTTCGAATTTAGATAGGAGAAATAAAGACCCTTTTATGGTGATTACCAAAATAAGTATTTTCTATATTTTATTACTTTTTCTAGTTAAGAGATTTTTCTTTTTTCTTTTTTCTTTTTCTTATATTCTTTTTTCCGTATAGAAAACTACTGTGTGAATCGCCAGCTATAATGACAACCGATGTGATCTCATGTCTAGCCATTTGTAGTAATCCCTTTGCATACTTCTTTTTTAAGCGTCAACTTCTAAACTAAATTATATTAAAGTAAGGAAAATGTCTTTTTAATAATTTTTTATGTTAAGATTAGTTCGACAATGATCGTCCTTAAAGTAATTCGAATTTAATAAAATTTATTCACATACGTGTGTGTGAATTTGATCAATTTATAATGCGCAGAATATGACAATGTTTTATAATGATTGTTTAATTACTGGAATAAACCTTTAATTGGCTGAGGTTGGTGTAATTATTTATAATAATGTTAAAGAAAGTCTTTAGGGTTTCCTTTCACTTCATGACTTATCTAACTTGATTTCCATCAAACTTTTGTCCCATTTTGGGAGCATGCTGTACAAAATACAAATTAAGTATGTTTCTACTTTTAATTTGAGTTTTAAAAATTCTTACTTTTTCTTTTCATGTTTTCTGTGTCCACCAAAATAAAAACCCGATTAAACTTTTAAATTTGATTAATACCTGATAAAAACAAATAAAATGATTTTACATAAATATCTGATCAAAATTATTTACCATGATCTATTTATTAAAATATTATACTAAATAACATTTTCATTTTTATCTTTTAAATATATTATATTCACCTTCTTATATTTTTATAAAGTAGCGTTTAAAGAAATTTTTACTTTTTAAAATAAAATTATATTAAGTATTATTATGAATTTTGACATTAAAACTATACTATTATTCGAAAAACTATTAGGCTTGTATTATTATATGAAAATTTATTATAAATAATTAAAATAAAAAATATAAATATGAAAAACTTATATTATGATAAAAGTTATATTTTACGAAATATTAGACAAAATATACTTATTACATAAAAAAAAACTAGCAAAATTAAGCATTTTTTCTAAACAAAAATTACGAAAATAAATTATTCCTAATTTCTTTATTAAACTATATATTTTTATTATTTATAAGGAATTCTAAAGGTAACCAATGAATACCTTTTCCATTTAACATAAAAACAGGCAGTTTTGTGAAGACCTAATGTCTTTGTTGATATAAAAATCTATTTTCCCCTATTGTAAAAATATAAATGTCTTTGTTGATATAAATTGTAAATAAAAGATTTAGATTGAAAAAAAGTCATTATAAAAATCTAAATGTCTTTCTTGATATGAATTGAAATAAAAGATTTAGATTGAAAAATAGTCATGTGAATTAAAATAAATATTTTAATTTTGTTATGTAAATAATGTATCCCTAATTAATTTTATTTAAAATTAAAGAAAATGTTATATATGGTTTATAGTAATTAAAAATATTTATTTATTTTAGATCAAGCATGACCTTGTTAGTCATCATGACCCAAATTTTAAAGTTATTTGATTTTAAATTATTAATATTTTTATTTCAATTATTCATTATATACATACTAACTAATGAAAATGAATTAATTAAAGTTTATTATTATAAAACATTTCAAGACGTCCAGAGTGGTCTTAAATGTTGATAGTAAGAGATATAAGCAATTCAGTTTGTGTTTTTTTTTTTCTCCTCAACCTTAAAATAATTTAGTACACAGGTAAAAAAAAATTAATTTTGTCCTAAATTATGTCATTAAAGTTTTGAACTAAAAAATCATGGCTCTTAAGAAATTGATTTATGGGACATGTAATTAGATTTGAATTTTGGACTTCGAATAATTTTTAAATGCATTAATGTTCTTAAAATCTTATTAGTTTTATGTATCAACTGAAAGTTGTTATTTGTTTGAAATGTTTAAAAGAATAGTCGTATTTTGTATGTCTTGTAATGGATAATTTAAGTGTTGATTTATAGTAAGTAAAAATTATATAAACTTGAAAATTTTGATGATGTTATTAGAAAGTGATTTTAAATCTAACTCAACCCCACAAACCGATTTATAAGATGAGATTTGTAAAGTATAGACATTTCGAGCGTGAGAGGATAATTAATGGGTAGTCCAAGATTCGACAACAGGTGGAACAGAATGGTCATATAGATCTTGCTAGAAAAAACTCCAACATACCATATTAAAAAATTATTTTTAAGTCTAACTCAACTCTACAAAACTGACTTATATAATAAAGTTTGTATCCAAATTATATTTATTACAACAGATGTGATGACGATTACGGTAAGTCAATTGAGTATATTTCTCATTTGAAATTTGTATGTTTAAGTTTAGATTTGATTAAGAAAAATATGTTATTTTTTTACATACTTTTTAATTGCTGATTTTCCTTGTGTAATGAAACCGCGTACTATTTGATATTCATAAATTGGGGGATGGTAGTGGTTAGATCTTCTATGGCCACATTATCCTCTACATCCCAGAATATTTATTACACATATGTGTTATGTCCGCACGACATTAACCTTCGTATAACATTTAATGAGAACTCAACATCCTAGTTCTAACCTTCTATATATTGTGTACGAGAAACGCTGGCATTTGTTTATTGTCTCTCTTCTATTGTAAGATGTGCTATGTCATGTAACAAAGAAAAGGGTAATTTTCTTGTAATATATAATGATATTTTGACAATATTTTTTTGACAACATTTTAACATTGTCTACGTGTTATTCTGTGATTGGTCTATATTGGTGTTTATGATTATTATTATTGATTGTGAAATAATTTTGGACCAATCATATAATAACACGTAAACAGTGTTAAAATGTTATAAAAAAAATGTTGTTAAAATATCATTGTCCTTTTTTGTATCTCGGTTTTTTCTTTTCTTTCATCTTCTGTTTGTTTAATATTAAATCGATTTTTAAAAGATATTCCTTTACATTTTGAAAAATCTACGTCATACTACAAATTTTTAAAGTGGAAGAAGTTGTGCCTTAGCTTTGTTCTTACGAGATTGGATTGTACTCGTATTTTCCAGTGTTTAAGGTCTTTCACGTATCTATTTTTTTAATACTAACATGTCTTTGTTATTTGACTTATTTTCTACTAGTGTATCATCAGTTATGACATCATTGTAGACTTATAAATAAAAACAAAGTTTAAATAAACAAATAGAGAAAAAAATATAAAAAATAAATTATCACAATTTTGAGCAAAGAATTACAAAGGACAAATATTATTTGTAGTTTAATACCTTTGAGAACTGTGAATTGAACTAGAGTTTTAGGTGTGGATGTTAAGAAATAGACTTTAAATCTAACTTAATTGTACAAAATCAATTTATAAGTTAAAGTTTGTCTCCATTTATATATTATAAACTTGCTTTATTTATAGTCGATGTAAGATTTTTAACACTTTTCATTCACACTAAGATATATACATATTGAGCGTGAGATTAAACATTAATGAGTAGTCTGACAGCGATTCAATAACATGTGGTATAATAGACCCAACAAACAACATATATACTGATAACGAGTGATACAATAAATTCAATAAATAAATCTCGCTAAAATAAACTTTAATCCATGAAAACTTTAATATTATATTTTTAAATATAATTTAATAATATAAAATTAACAGATAAAATTTATATATATATATATATATATATATATATATATATATATATATATATATATATATATANGTATTATTATGAATTTTGACATTAAAACTATACTATTATTCGAAAAACTATTAGGCTTGTATTATTATATGAAAATTTATTATAAATAATTAAAATAAAAAATATAAATATGAAAAACTTATATTATGATAAAAGTTATATTTTACGAAATATTAGACAAAATATACTTATTACATAAAAAAAAACTAGCAAAATTAAGCATTTTTTCTAAACAAAAATTACGAAAATAAATTATTCCTAATTTCTTTATTAAACTATATATTTTTATTATTTATAAGGAATTCTAAAGGTAACCAATGAATACCTTTTCCATTTAACATAAAAACAGGCAGTTTTGTGAAGACCTAATGTCTTTGTTGATATAAAAATCTATTTTCCCCTATTGTAAAAATATAAATGTCTTTGTTGATATAAATTGTAAATAAAAGATTTAGATTGAAAAAAAGTCATTATAAAAATCTAAATGTCTTTCTTGATATGAATTGAAATAAAAGATTTAGATTGAAAAATAGTCATGTGAATTAAAATAAATATTTTAATTTTGTTATGTAAATAATGTATCCCTAATTAATTTTATTTAAAATTAAAGAAAATGTTATATATGGTTTATAGTAATTAAAAATATTTATTTATTTTAGATCAAGCATGACCTTGTTAGTCATCATGACCCAAATTTTAAAGTTATTTGATTTTAAATTATTAATATTTTTATTTCAATTATTCATTATATACATACTAACTAATGAAAATGAATTAATTAAAGTTTATTATTATAAAACATTTCAAGACGTCCAGAGTGGTCTTAAATGTTGATAGTAAGAGATATAAGCAATTCAGTTTGTGTTTTTTTTTTTCTCCTCAACCTTAAAATAATTTAGTACACAGGTAAAAAAAAATTAATTTTGTCCTAAATTATGTCATTAAAGTTTTGAACTAAAAAATCATGGCTCTTAAGAAATTGATTTATGGGACATGTAATTAGATTTGAATTTTGGACTTCGAATAATTTTTAAATGCATTAATGTTCTTAAAATCTTATTAGTTTTATGTATCAACTGAAAGTTGTTATTTGTTTGAAATGTTTAAAAGAATAGTCGTATTTTGTATGTCTTGTAATGGATAATTTAAGTGTTGATTTATAGTAAGTAAAAATTATATAAACTTGAAAATTTTGATGATGTTATTAGAAAGTGATTTTAAATCTAACTCAACCCCACAAACCGATTTATAAGATGAGATTTGTAAAGTAT